GCTTTTTGACAAGTTTAAAATTTCTTTAAATTACATTAGAAATATTAAAAAATAAACTACAAAAATAATTTGATAAAGTGCAAATCAAAATATAGTTGTATCTGCAATTTGATAATGTTTTGAACTTTTAAAATACTGCATGACAGAAGCAGAAGCTGCTCTTCATATTAGTGACAAACAATAACAGTAACAACAGCTTTTTGACAAGTTAAAATTTTCTTCAAAATTCATTCAAAATGTTTTAAAATAAACTACAAAAATTAATTTAAAGTGCAAATTAAAATATAGCTGTATCTGCAACTGTATTTGATAATGTTTTGAACTTTTTAAAATATTGCATGGTAAAAACAAAAGCTGCTCTTCATATTAGTGACAAACTTTGGTGTTTTTTGACGTGTTGCCTTCATTTTTGCTTCTACTTTTCATTTAAAATACGTTTCCATTCTCGTCAGGTTTCTAAGGTTCTTCTTCTACATATCAAAAAGTTGTTAAACATCTGAGTGGTGCACTACTGCTACTAGTGGTGAGAAAGTGTATTGCACCTTATTCAAAATCAATGTGGTCCCACGACCCTCTGCAGCCCAAAGTTAAAAACTGTTGTTCTTTTGAGGCCCTCAAGGTGGGGCTCATGGCCCAAAATTGGGCCGCGGCCCATAGGTTAAGAACCTCTGATTTAGAACACACTGCAAGATCTCACAAAAAATAGGTTGTGCTTAACGTTGCTTTCCACTAACACATCATGGTGGGAATGAAAGTCGTAAAAGATGTCTGGCTTCCCTTCAAATGTTTTTTTTTAAAGAAATGCTAAATAACAGCACAGGCGTTGTACCCATGATTTTCACAACCTTTAGGTTTTTTCAGTTTTAGTTTTTTTCTCGGGCCGTGGCAGCTCTTACTGCACGCTCACATTAAATGTGGCAAACCTGAAATTCTACTTACAATTTACTGAGCTCCTCCACTCTCTTACGCAGTCTTGTAACCTGGGGGAGAAATGAAGAATACATGGAGAGTTTACATCTGGAGGTGATGAGAAGTTTGTATTATAGCCTGGTCCAGCTGAGAAATCTGCTGATTTCCTGTTTAGCATCATAAAATAGTCAAATGTAAGGATTTCAAGAATTGATTGGGCTTCAAATTATGTTTAATGTGTTTGACTTTTTAAAGTTACAACACACTATTTTATAATGAAAAAGAGGCAAATGTTTTTCTACATTTTGTTAATAACATTTGTTGATTTGATCAGATACTCTTCATAACAATACATTAAATAATAGTTAACTACCTCTAACATTTCTGAGATTATAAAGAAGATGGATCATACAGGAATTCTTTTTACATCCACTAAACACAACGAGTGAGACCCTGAGGTGAAGCGTCCTCTCACCTCGTACTTCTGCAGCTTCAGTCTCTCCATATGATCAAACTTCTCAGACTCCAGCTGGCGCATCCAGTCACTCAGCTCAGTGATCTTATCCCTGCAACGCAAACAGCAAACTAACATGAGTCTATTTGCTGCAGACAAAAGAAAAGACACGCCGTCACATTTCCTGAAAGCTTTGAGTCACAGTCATCTACGCTGATTGACCTTTGGAGTCAATTCAAGATGGCTGCCACAACTAATTGCTAAAATGGCTGTAAATCAATTAATTTGACAAAAATTGAGTTAAAATTCTAATCACAAGATGATTTTAGTGTCAAACTCTGGATCAAAGGTGGTGATATTAATGCATTTTGTGTGTTTGATGGTTTTTGCCATCTTTCCTTCTAGTTTTCTGAGTTTGATTAGTTCCCTGATGCTTCACCTGAGTTAACAACCCGATGACCTGCTTTGTACCACTGAGCCTGAGTTTTCATGGGGTTAGTAAAGCTGGATCTACCCTGGATAAGTTAAACCTGCTCTGTAGAACAGGGCAAGGGTGTAACTTTAGTATACCATTGGGGGGTTATGCCCAATTATTTATTTATTAAATCATTTACCTTTGTAAAATGATTCAGGATATTTTGGGGTTAAAATACATTATAATGCTTTTACTGTGATTTACTTAACATCCCTGTTTCATTAGTATTTACCCTGCACCTTTTCTGTTCAACGCCAGTTCAACAATTAAGAAAAGGCTTACTTTCTTCCCCGTTTTTTCCAACAGTAACAAATACAGTATTTTACATTGTAAGAATGTATTATATGACTAAATTTCTCAATTTTTCCCAGAGTATGTTCTGATGCACTGCAATATGGCTACCAGTGGTGGGCAGCACTAATCCAGAAATTAGCTGCGTAATTTCAAAAGCACTTTTGAAAATATTTTGGTCGGCAACTTCAAAAGCACTTATGCCATAGGAAAACTAGCAGAAGTTTATTTTAAAGCGTAAGTTCAATTTGACATGAACTAGCTGACAATTCATGTAATATATGCACAACACTGCCAACTAGCAGTGTATGAACCCTTGTACAACTTAATTCTAAAACCACCAATTGCTGGGGATGTGTTTTCCTGAAACAGACCTTTAGCTCCTGGTGTAAAAATTAAAAAGTTGTTGAGGATTGCTAGTTCGGCTGCTTCTTTGTCTTTGTCTTTTGTTTGTTGTAGATTTTTCATTAAACATGCATCAATAAAGTAATTTTAAAACTGTTTATTGGAAAACTGAAGCGATGCATTCTGGATATGATTTGTGAAAGGAAAGCACGGTTCACAGGAAACTATCTTCCCTTCAAAATAAGAGCTTGGATTTTAAAGTTTTCCATGTCGTTGCACCAGTTGACCACTAGATGTCAGTCTTCATCAGCATAACATCTTTAAATCATTTCTGCGTCCCTTCAGGCTTCAGCTAACCCCGTTGGCCGATTGCTTCGACCAATTACGTCAAGTATTGAGCTCCAGTGTTTAAACTTAATTTTTTTTAAAAAGGAGCTCCGATTGTAAAGTAAAATAAAATCAATACAAACAAAATTTCAGTACGGATTACAAACATTAACTGTTTTTGCTATTGTTTTTGTTATTTACGTAAGCAGACACAAAGCATTGTGGGAAATGAGAACCTTGACTGAAAGCAACAGTCAGCAAGGATGTATTCGTTTCCAATAAGTGTGTTTATCTGGGAGGGGTGCTGTTGGATAGACCATGTGTGTTGTGAGTCATTGACAGCCATACCTTCCACTGTTCAAGATAACGATGACTGGTAAATAATTAGTTATTAGCGGAACTGCATTTTAATTTGGAAAGCACAAATCCACTTATGAATTATAAAAATTAGTAAGAGCACTAAAGCGCAAACAAAATATTTAGGTCCGCAATTAGTGGATTTGCGCTTTAGCGGGCTGGTGCCCACCACTGATGGCTATGAAAAATTACAACACATGATTCAACAAATACAGCCATAATATGACAAGAGCAGACTAAAACCCTGCATGCTATTTTCAACAATTATGTTTAAAAGTAAAAAAAACCTGTTCATTTCTACTGTGTTTGAGCAAATAATGCCATTTAATTGGGTAATTTATATTGACTAGATCACCCCTGCAAATTCCATCCATGGGTCCAGCGAGCAGAACCGGGTCATACCTCAGCTTGTCTTCACTCAGATGGTCAATGTTGAGTGGCTTGCGTCTAGCGGCCAGGATCTTCTTCTTCTTCTCTCTCTCAGTCTCCTTCTTTCCTCCTCTCTTCTGGTCAGCCTGTTTGGATCAGACACAAGAGTTCAGATGCAGGTTCAGAGTGGACCCGGACTCCACTGAACCAAAGACCCCATGAGGTGCTGACCCTCTGCAGATGACTGCTGTAGTTGGAGCCCATGCTGGACAGAGCAGACTTCTTTTTGGCATCCTCATCTGCTTTCTTCTTGTCATCTGCCTCTTGCTTGATCCGCCTCTCCTCCTGAGTTCACAAAAGGAAAGAATGGCAGGGAGTTGCACCTCACAGCTAAAACCATTTCATTGTAAAAACAGCATAAGGGTCAGTCAGAAGTGAAAAATAATGAGGAGGAAGTTGTTAAGGTTCTTAATTTTAAGTTAGAAGGTTAAAGGGGGAATAGTTTTGACAGAAACAACTTCAATCCCTCACAATAAGAGTCTCAAAAATCCTCTGACGGCAAAACTCAGAAAACTGTCTCTACATATCCGTTTACGAAAATATATCACATTAACATTCTTCAGTAAAATGAATCATGTAGATTAAGAATTTAGAAGTCAACTCTCAGAGTGTGTTTGAGACTCTTATTTTGAAGGGTTGAAAGCATCTCTGGAGGTTCTGCTGCAGTGGGATTAAAAAACCCAAACACAGCATAAAAAGTGATAAATCTTAGAAACAAAAACATAATAAATAAATTGATTCAGATTAGTTTTGAAAAAGGTCTCTTTGTTCTCAACATTGTGACTTTATTTTCTCAATATTAATCCATTTTTATTCAAAAATTATTTTCACTTTAATCTCAAAACTACAATTACAATTCTGAGTGGCTCCAATACTCAGTAACTATATTTCGGTTGAAAAAAAAGGAAGCATTTTTCAAAGTGAGAAAAAAAGAGAAATGTTTTGAAGACAACAAACCTCACGTCTGGCCTGACGCTCCTTATCCTTCTCAGCCCTGATCCTCTGCTGCTCAGCCCTCTCTGCACGACGCTTCTCCTGCAGGTGGCAAACAATACAAAGGTTCTCTGATTTCATCATTAAGTCCAAAATTAAAAAAAGAAAATGACTGAATGTAAGCTGCAAACCTAATGAAATTTATTTTACAGATGTAAAGAATATCCATAAGGAGTTTGTTGAAGACTGACACCAGCAGCTCCCTGATACCAATATGTTTTCCTGGGCTCCTCCTTAAAATGTGCTTTAAATCAAATCAAACAAAAATACTAAATTACAGTGCAGGCATTGATCCAGGGCAGCATTTCTGCATCGTGAGGCCTGGCCCAACCACATTGGACCATGTCTTATTCTACTCTGGCCCTGGTTCTGTGTGCTTTGAGAAGAGCTGCCTCAATGTGGGCAGGGATCATCGTATCAAAATCAAGCAAATCTTTATAAGATGTTTGCAACACAGATGTTTGCTCTATATAAGAATCAAGACCAGTGGAAATGGAGTGAGACAACATCAAATTGGCCCAGCCGATGATGATAACTAGGGTTCGGCAAAATTGTATCGTGTGCAATTATTAGTCAGAAAAACTTTAATCAATTATTTTTTGGCACTTGACGATTAATAAGATTAATGCTGCTGGGCAGACTGACTGGAGATTTCTCCGGTCAGTCTGCTCGGTGCTCTTCTCTGCTTCAAACATGACGAAAATATAAAAAAGGTCTGTAATTTATTTATCATTATTCCGGTTTTACTTGGTCTATCAACACAATTTAAAAATTGATCGCAGGGGCGGACTGCCTATTAGGAGTACCAGGAATTTTCCCAGTGGGCCAGCGCATCCCTGGGCCGGCGCACAGCGAGGAAAATAAAAAGGTGTAGTTGTGCTCAAAAACAGTGGATGGCGATAATGCACCAATTCATTGTTTACCAACCGCCAGCAAAGACCGAAGAAGAAGAAAAGTTTGATGATGAAGAAGAGGAAGAAGAAGAACCGGACGGGCTCCGTAGAGAATAAACGTAAGAGAGGAGAACAAAAATTGAGAGAAAAGAAAAAGCATCTATCTACAAGCAAATTCAGCCAAGTGTCAGAAACTGACATTTATTTTCTGCTGGTGCATCATTATTGACAGATTTTTACAGAGAGCAAATCTTTCCCACTAGTGATTTAATTTGGTCATGTGATTAGGGCATACAGGTGTCCAGGGACTACAGGGGATTGATTGCTAATGGCTAAATACCACAATTAATTGTGATTAATTTTTTTTTTTTTTTGCTAATATCGCCCAACCCTTATTATAATCCCAGGTCTCTGGGTTCCAGAAATAAGGCTAGCAGTGGACCATAAAGGCAAATAAAAATACTGTACGCTAAATCCATGTCAGGCCAGGCCTTACAATGCAAACATGCCAACATGTATGGGGCATATAAGGACTGGAGAATAGGGATGGGTGTACTGGGTGGGTACATATACTGGAGAACAGAGGGATGACCTTACTGCAGCTAAATGGTGGCTATAATTTCAAGCCTTTATTTATTTATCAACACTTTTTTAATCAAGGGGGATTCATAGTGTTACATGTTGACTAAAATTTGCCCAAGGTCCAAACAATTAATTGGATAATATTTTGACAAAGACTCACAATCCTCTCCTTGAGTGCAATCAGCTCCTCTTCCTCCTTCTTTCTGCACTCAAAGTGAGCATCAATGAGGCCCTGCAGCTCCATCAGATCCTTGTTCTGACGTTTCTTCTGGATGTCCTGCGTTAAAGAAGAACAGACGGCTCGAAAAACACAGCAGACAAACAAAAATCCTGAAAGTTTCTCTTTTTGTTCAGGTCTGCTTACATCAAAGTCCACTTTATCACCCTCTGGGATCTTTGGAGCGGTGGGCCTAGGATGAGATTATGAGTGAAATTATTACATCTCACATTTTTTTAACATATTTTTGATCAAATCATTAACATGAAAATGTCTAAAGTTACACATTGAAGACACTCACTTGAATTTTGGCTTCTCCTCTGCAGGAAAAAATGTGGAGATTAGCAAAAAATAAAAGATCATTTTGAATTTTCATGCATCATTTTATTTGAAATGACATGTAAGAAGGATTAAAAATGGACACAAGCTTTTTTAAAAAATATATAATTATAACAGTCACAGAAGTAAAACCACAAATGAATTAATAACATGACCAAACAACTCAGAAAGATTAAATAAATTGTGCCAACAATGAAATCAGTTTAGTTGTAGTAAAACGATATTTTCTCTTTGGCTTGACCCCAGAACTATTTGACACAAGCAAGACAAACCTATTTCTTCTCATTCAGACCAGATTCTGGTGCCTCCATGCACACAGTGAGACCCAGCTTGGTGAGGTGGAACAGGGTTTACTGCAGGTATTAACCACTATTACCCTTTTTTCTCTACTCTACTTAACTCTTAACTGAAACATTTCATTTGATTGATTGTGGAAAAACTGCAAGCTAAAGACTAGAGCACTGTAGTTTGTCCAAAACCAGAATACATAGTTCCCATTAGACCAGCCTGTCTAAGACATACTGGAAGTCCAGCATTTTCCTGTGTTATCTGTGAACGTGGTACTGATGCATCTTTTCGAGCTCTTTTTTTGAAACTGTCGGACTTTGTAAAGACACATTAGACAGTGCTTCGAGGAGGTACAAATAAAAAAATTGTTCTGACTGATCCAAACTACGGTGGACAAAGACAAAATGTGAGCCGAGCTCCCAGCAGTGACTTACTATGATATAGTGAATTATTTAATTTTAAAAAAGTACCCTCACCATGCGGGAGCTTCTGTCAATGCTTTGGACATATTGTTTGGAATCATCACTGTCAGTGTTAGTAAACTGGATTATCTGCTTACTGCTTACAAAGTGATGGGAGCAAGTCTTTTACTCTCAGACGGCTTTAGCTTTCCTGTTTTTATCAGTGAGACGCACTCGTCAACGCACGATGGTGAGTTTTAAAGTCCGTGCACCTTCATGTTGTATTGTTGATGTATATTTATATAATACATTTCAGCTGAATCAGGAAATGTTGAAATAACACACAGTATTTTCATCTTTAATGGCCTCTGCATGCAGAAAATGTGAAGACATAAAAGCAGAATTGATCTTATTGTTAGCAGACACACAGAACTCAAAGCTAAGCACAGATTTGACACAGCGCTCCCTGTCTGATCTAAATATGTACAATTAAAAGTAACAAATTCAATTTCATGTTTAAATATTTGTTACAGAAGTCTAGTACAATGAATTTTGGTAATAACACATAATATAGCCTGGTCTTTGCAGGTACCAGGTACATACCTGTTACTTACCAGGTAATTAATTCATTATTTGGTACATACCAAAGACCTTCAGGAACATTACAATGTGGTACATACCAGGTATCTGGTATGTACCATACAGGGTACATAAGTAACAGGTGTGTACCTGGTGAGTACTTGGTATGTACCATGCAGTGCATGGTAAGTACCTGATAAATAACCAATAAGTACCATGTACTTACTGGGTACAAACCAGGTAAGTCTGAGGTACAAGATTGGTGGATACAAGGCAAGTGTGAAGCCAGTAAGTCCAAGGTAGCAAATATCTTCATTTTACAGCCCAGTCTTCTTAGCTAACAAGTATATATCAAATATCAGGAACTTTGTCCTATGAGGTACTTACTAGTTACATATTGGACTGTATTATTTTTTGGTACTGAAATTTTACTTCACATTACTTTGTTAGAAATCTGAAGTTTGGACGGCTGTGGTGTAGTGGTAGAGCAGCCGGCTTGGGACCCGAAAGTCTTAGGTTCGACTCCCCACCATACCCACATGTCGTGGTGTCCTTGAGCAAGACACCTAACCCTAACTGCTCCCCGGGCGCCTCACATGGCTGCCCGCTGCTCCACTTGGGTGTGGATGGGTTAAATGCAGAGCACAATTTCGTCATTGTGTGGAAACATACACTGATGACAAATAAAGCACCTTTACCTTTACCTAAGTTTGGACGGTTCTAGAAGATTTAATAAACTGAGACATATTTAGAGATGGCTACAAAACAGGATGTTTTTGTATTTTTGCATAAAAAACATGATTGAAAATGCTTTGACATCAATAGTAAACTAGATTTTTAAAAAAGTTATTTGTAAGTAGCTTGATTTGGATCTTTTAAGTTGGAGTGTACCAGGGTTAGTAGTGTTAGCAGGTTGGATTGATAAACCTGATGTATTTGCAGTGAAAGTCATGCAAACACTGTAAATGAAACAGGGTAAGACAGATGAAACGTTCATGCCACTGCAGCTGCAGTCTCTGACTCTATGTTGCTGTTTCATGTATGTGTCAAGTTGGTTGCAGTCAATAGTACAAGATTTTCAGGGAATTTCTGTCCCAAATTATCTCCTCCTCCAAGTTGTTGGTCTGGATTTGTGTCATTGTTTGATTGATCATAAAACCCTGATTACATCGTCTTTTTTTAAATCAATCTGTGAGATTTTTTACATGATAAAATTTTAATGTCTAACTGAAAGGTTTGTTCAGAAATGTACCTATTTTTAATTTGACTAAAACGATCTTGTCTGGGCTGTGATGTGCTGCGATCTGTCTTCAGAGCACTTGAGAACCATGCTGTAACATATCATATCTGACATCTATTTATATCTGACAGCAGATATGATCTTTGGTGTATCAGGCTGTAATCATGTGGACAGAGGGGGCGGAGAGCCAGAACAACGTACTTAATACACATGAAACTCTCATGAGTCAAAGTTCAGATTCATTTTTGATTTGATTTATTTTTAAGTATTACTCATATTTGCTGCCTATATACTTTACTAATGCACATGCTCAATTGTCAATCATTTTTGATGCATTGTGGTCAAAATAGTTTCATGCCTACTTTCAATTCGCTGAAATAAACAGTTTTCATATCTACTGATGTTTCAGCTCTGCAGTCTGACGAGGTCATCTTTATGTTTCATGGCACCTATACCCCTCTGCAACCCCAGTATACCCAACCCTCTATTTCCTGGATCCTGCAGTTATTATGTGTGTAAAATGCAACTTGAGTATAACTCAAACCCCCATGTTTTGAGCTAAGACAGCATTAAAAAAGTCTAATCCTTGTGTACATTTAATAATTTCATACAGACTTCAGGATTTTTCAGTCTTCTCAGTTTATCCTTATGTGGGGAAACAGATTATTTTAGGGACACACTCTTGTGGACATGCTTGTGTTCTTCTGCTAAAAATGATCAGCTGGTTATTAAGATAACATGACGGACAGCTTTGAGAAACTGCTGTGTGGTCCTGTTGAGCACTCGAATGTGCAACTGACATACATGTCTTCTTTCAACTTCCACGACTAACAATAACAAAAAAATTGGTGAAATTATAATGATTTACCCCCTTTGACACAATATTTCAGTTATATAAGAAAATGTTGAAACATTGTGGTAGTATGTAAGAAGAAAAAGGGTCATAATTGACTCCCATGTATAATACGGACCCCCAACTTTATGGATGATTTTTGGCTTAAATGTTTTGTATTATGCACACAAAAATACTGTATGTTCAAGGGATCCCTACGTTCCCAGACACCCCTTTATTCCCTTGTGCAATCCCTGTACTGTAATTGAATATTGTTTTATTTGTTTTAATATATCGCCATTTGTATCATATTTGCTACGCAGGATTCTGTGACCTTTATTTTATCAATGTGATCAATATTTTCCTCAAAAACCTGTTGTACATCATGTGAGATCTGTACTCTGCCCTCTAGTGGATTAACAATGTACTGCAGGAAGTAGAACTTTTTTTTTTTTTTTGCCTTTTCAAAATGTCTGCTGACATGAGGTCATCCACACATTTTTTTCCAGGAAAACTTTTGCTAATTTTGGAGAAGTTATGGTAAGAATAACATCAATATTGTTTGTAATTTTAATAAATACTTTCTGTGTTGAAACAATGCATAATTACTTAAAAATATTTTTAATAGTACAGTTAAAATTTTGTGTATCAGCCTTGATACTGCAGGTAGATAAGGTGCTCCAGTCCTGAAATGTCGTGTGACATTTTTGTAATTTTAGTAATTTAATCAACAGTATTCTTGCCACAATACAACACACACTATTTTGGATGATTGATTAATTACTGTAATGCCATTTGAAAACACATTTTGGCTATTTTCAAAGTGGTTTCTTTTGAAATTATAATCTCTACGCTGTACTGACTAATTATTTATGTGTTAGATGTCAAAGAGAACTGAGGAAGAAGAGAGAAAAAAGAAAGTAAGAAAATGTCATCAGTATGATAATAGATGACATTTTTGCATAAAGTGTGAGGCACATCTGTGCCTGAACAAGGACAGAAACTGTATTTGTGCCTACCACAAAGTGAAATAAATGGCTGTAAAACGTTTATTGATTTGATACAAAAATATAAACAAAGTGACGTGGCAAAAAAGGATTTTGTTTAAAGGACCAATAAACATGTCAGTTCTAAAAAAAAGTGAATTTTCTGACTATTTTTTAAAGGGTTAGGCTCTATTTTCATGACTTTTAACCCTGGAGATCACAGGTTTGGATGCATTTCCAGCACATTACACCTGCTATCACAAAAGAAAATACTGATAGAACTAACTATTTCTATCTATGTATGTTTGTTTGTAAAAGTCGATAGAAAAATGATCTGTACAAATAGTACAATTTTGATTGAGGAAGTATTGATTGAGAAAGGACAATTAAGATGTGGGACAGGTTTTTAAACTTCTAATATCAGTCACGTCACAGTCTTTGGAAACTGGTGAGATAACTATGCCTGTTTCTGTCAGAGGTCATCAAACCTGTACAAACAGTATTTTTTGAGCTGTTTAAATAAAATGTCTATAGGTGAAAGAAAGGTAACGGTTAGCGTTGAACATGTTTAAAAACATCTGTCTGTCTGATTGACGCCTAGTAAAGGATGATAGAACAGGACCCACCCCTTTCTTACCACATACCTTCAGACTCAGGCTCTGGTTCTGGCTCTGGTTCTACCACTGGTTCTGGTTCTGGCTCTGGCTCTGGCTGTGGTTCTGGCTCTGGCTCTGGCTGTTGCTCTGGCTCTGCCTCTGGCTGAGGGGCCGCCTCAGGGGCCACTTCTACTTCTTCTACTACCTCCACTTCTACAGCTAAACAGCATGCAGCGAGTTGGCGGTGGAGGGTGGAGGGAGGGAGGGTGGTGAGAGGGTTAATAGAAGCAGGGAGAGGGAACAAGGACACAGGTGGACGGAGAGGGGAAGGTGTAAGAAATGAGAAGGGTCAGAATGGAGCAGTTTGGGGGGAACTGTCACTAGATGGCACCAAAGCAAGTGAGACAAAAAGCAGTTGCAGGAGGAAAATAGTCATTGGTGGATGGAAGGTGTTTGTTTCTTGTAAATAGCAGCCCTAAAACGCCATGTGGTGAAAAAAAATTGTGTTTTAATCCTGTTTCTTTTCTTCGATCTCAGAGATAATGTTAATAGTACCCAGCATGCCACAAAAAGTACACCTGGAGGCCGTTACAAATCTCTGACAAATTAGTACCGCTGGCGTAATCATTCAGAGTTTGACGGCTGTGTCTTACCATCGTATTCTTCATGTGCAGCAGAGAAAGAAAGAAGCAGAAGAACATCATCAAAAGATCCCATATGTACCCATTTTAACAAAACACAAATGTAAAGTGTGGGTACACTAGGGATCCATGCTGCGCATACACAAAGCAGTCTGTTCGGGCTGAAGTAGCCTCAATTGGTTCATTAGAGCCACAAAACAACTTTTGTCATCAGGAAGTCTGTTCAGCTCAGAAGGACTGCTTAGAACATGCAGAACTACATTTTCTGCCAACAGGTCAGTGAATTCTGAGTGATTTCATTGTACTAATTTGATCTGAGTTCACTCTTTCCTGTTGTCCGCATTAAACATGTGTGCGTTTCCCTCAAAGGGGAGAGCCTTGTTGCACAGAATGAATCTGGAGGAGTCAAGCCAAACCTGCAAACATACACATTTGTGCAGAGCTAACGTTCTATAAGGGAAGGAAGATCAGTTAGGCAAGATCCAGATCCAGCAGTTTGATTTAGCATGGAGCTCCTAACTGTACCTGAACAAGGAAGCTGGAGCTACTTACCCTGATCACTGCAAAAACAAAAGGGACAAAGAAACGACGGAATTAGCAATCCTGTTTAATGTTGAGGAAAAGTTGGTGCCTGAGACTGAAAACAGTGCTTTCACAAAAACCTAAACAGTCAAGCAGAGATTTCCAGACATTTAGCAAAAAACTGAAGGATTTAAATTGTTAAACTTACACTTCCTCTGTGTCAGACATGATGGCGTGGACTTTGAAACCTGAAAACCAAAAAGAGAGGGAAGAGAGAAGGTTAAAATCTGTTTTTAATGGGTGAACTCTTATTTATAGCTCAGGATTAAGTTGCAGATGTCTTTAAATATGTGCTGCAGGAGAGACCCCGACTGAACCCCACCCTGCTTACACCCACACCTTTACCCCTCTCTTACACAGCTCAAAACGAGATTCTGTCTGAAATGAGGACAAACTCATTTAAAAGTGATGAGGTCATTGTCAGAGGAAATGTTTTATTGAGGTGTTGGACTTTAAACATTCTCACAATTTGTCCCATCTGAAGAGTCTGGCTTTATAATTAGTGTCAGAGTCTGAGCTGAAATGTGAGCCTCATCTGCATGTCTCAGAAGTGGAAAGCAGACCAAACATAAATGATAGCCAACTGGTTAAAAAAGAATAAAACACAGCGATTTGCATGTATAAAACATCATTTCAGGTCTAAAATCTGTTTCAGTTTAAACTCTTTTATTTGTGTTGTTCATAATCAAAACTCGACTAGGATAAACACTAAGCTCAACCCTAACCCTTATTTTATAACAAACTAGGTTTTAGTTTACTGAAATATTATTTTTTTTAATTATCAGTTTTTTTTTGTGAATTAGTCTCATAAGAGTGAGAGCACCATGAACATCCCATCATTAAAAAAGACAGCTGCACAGTTCCCAGATCCAGTTTCAGTGGATACCATGTTGAAGATTGGGTTCCATCTTCTGGACCACTACCATCTCCATTCCCTTATGTGGCTGTCCAGCTCCCACATGGTTTCCTCAATCATATTCCTGAGGGTCCTGTCACTTTACACTGGATTTAAAATAAGCTCCTAAACACACCAGGGAAGGTTAAGGGCCTAAAACCTAATGCTCAACTTCTAACTTTTACATTTGACAAATTCTGAGCTTAATGTGTTTATAAAACAATGATAACCAGAAAGAACGCTTTACATTTGGAAAATCTGCTCCACATCCACTCCCAGAGGTATCTGGGTCAGGTTTAAGACAATAAGTGTTTATCCTCCAGCTATGAGAGGTTTAATGTTCATGGATGCTGTTCCAATTTACAGCTTCACTCAGAGACATCAACACCATTCACTTCACAAGCTAGGAAAGGTTGCAAACTGAAAATGAGAAAAAAAACAACAACAGTCCACTGCCACTGGTATGTTGGTATCATCTGGTGTAAATCCATCAGGCATGAACCTCGTCTCAATCACTGAATTCAAACCAAACCAGCATAAAAACAACAATCTGCTCTGCCCATACAGCTGCTCCGAAACACGAGAACTTCAAACACAGAAAACATTTTATTCAGGCAAACGTTGATCATTTTAACCAAGTTCAAAAGTCCAAAACTGAATCAAATGGTTTAGCTTATGATGGTGATAGGATAAAACACCTCACTGCCATTGCTCATACACATATTGTCTTTTCAAGGTTCAAACACACAACAAATAAAGCCAAAATCTAATATTCCTCCAGGATAATCTACTAATCCCACCCTCTGCTTTAGTGGCAGTGATTGGAACACACAGGCTCGGCTGCATTAAGTCAAATAAAAAGATTTGGGGAAATTAAACCTGAGCTGTCTGCATTCACACACTCATTCCCTACTTTTCCACCTTACCTCAGGAAAGCTGAACGAAGTGAGCACCCTGTTGGCCAAGACAGGCTGTAAGCTTCTACAAACGCACCACCCTGATTATGTCTTTCTGTTACAGCGACACTTGATCCACTCAGGCTCCCTATTGGCCAAAGAGTGGGCTTGGAGGTGAGGCTGTCTTTGTGATGAGGCAGGATCCCTGTCCTCGGCGGTCCCCCCCCCACTGCTCCAAACGGTCACTCAATAAGGAGATGGACGGGCTGAGGGCTGCAGAGGGAGCCTCAAGTTTGGTGAAAGCAACAGTCAAGACGTCCACATGATGCTATTCTGGGGCTGCTCCATTAGGCAAGCACATTTCTTCTGAGACTGAGATGAGAGCTGACCGACAGGGAAGAGTGGCAGCTGGTGTTTGAGATCCTCTCAGAGAAGTCTCACAACACAAACATATAAAGAGAACAAGAATCAGGGACTTTGGCTGAAAGCAGCTCTTTTTTGGGATCTTTGGCTTAAGTTTAAATTTGTGGCTTAATGGGAGTCTTTCAGGTCTTCCAACTGCAGGTGATACATTTCAAACTGATGTTAGTCTCAACATACGTGCAAAAAAAGCAATGATGGTGGTTGACAAACTGAATCCCCTCTGGTCATCTGCTTCCACTTTACTCCTTTGATACACCGAAACACATTGTTTTAAAAGAGGTTCAGAAAGCAAACAAATCCTGTCCACATGGATGATGCTTATCTTTTATTTTTCTTATGAATTTAATTTACATTTGATGTCATTAGATTTACCTACATTCACATTTCTTATAGTGTAACTTCTCGTGTTTCTGTCTAATTATTTTCTTTTAGGTCGAATAAATTCTCCAAATTGCCTGTACCCACTGTCAGCGTTGTATAAAGTACCACAAAGTGATACTTGAGTAAAAGTACTAGTATCTTACCAAAAAATTACTTTGGTAAAAGTTAAAGTCTCCTTTAGGCATATTACTGCAGTATAAGTCCTAAAGTATCTGATATTATTTGTACTTAAGTATTAAAAGTAAAAGGTATTGATTTAAAATGAGCAGTTAGATTTTKTGTAAGGACATTTATTAGGAGGAGACCTCCCCCAAAATTTCGAAATGACTGTTGTTTTAAAATAATTAATTTATGTTAAATTTAGGATGAACTAGTCCAGCTGTTTCAGTTTATATACATATATCAAGGCTGCACAAAGCTTTTCCCCAAAATGAAAATCTATCTGAGGACTGCAGCCAAATGTAATAAAATAATTCATGAAATACAAATACTTCTTAAGTACAGTCCTTTTATTTTAATGATTATGTCCTGCTGGAGTGTGTCATGATTTGTTTGTGTACAAACTAATACAGGATCAGAGTTTTATATATTTATACTTCT